TAATGAGCCAATTTCGAGCCGAACACGAACACGAATATTTAAATCGAGCCGAACACGAACACACTGTTCACGAGCCGATTTTGAACACGCGCCGATTTCGAACACGAGCCGATTTCAAACACGAGCTATTTCGAACGAGCCGAGCACGAGCCCAGCCTGAGCTCGCTCAAGCTCGGCTTGTTTACAGCCCTAAACATATCTGTAGATGATAGATCTCACTTTTGTACATCATGTATATATACTTGCATAGTTTTGTACATTTTTTTGATATAGTAATGCAAATACACACTTTCAAGAAAGCTTTACATTTATTGGGAGGTTTGATGGAGAAGTACATAGAGAGTAAGGAGGATCATCATATGATTTGTATTGATTTAGAAAAAAACTTACAATAAGGTTCCAAGAGTTCTTTGGAGAGTTTTAAACAAGAAAGGTGTTGATATTGACTTATATTCAATTCATTAAAAAATATATATACTAGATCTGTTATTTGTGTTTGAACAGAAGGAGAATTGACTAAGTATTTTCTTATTTCAGTTGGATTACAACAGGGATCGGATTTAACTCATATTTGGACGCGGGGCTTCCCCACGAGGCACGGAAATGAGGCTTACCGCACTGACATGGGACTCACGGGTTCTCCTGTGTCTGAACCTGACCGGTTTGTAGAAGACCAGTGTAGGGGAATCTCAAGCCGAGTGGCCCGGGCGAGACTTCTGGCGGGGCGAGTGGGCCTCCCCCCCCCCTCTGCTCCTTCCTTTTTTGCTTCTTCTTCATTTAGAATTATTTTAATGGCTAATTTCTAAGTATTTCTCGCCTCCCCGCCAATTTCTTTTATGTGGGAGTTTCATTTTTTTATTTCTTTTATTTCTTCTTCATGTAAGAGTCTATTTAATTATTGTTTTTGAAGTTTAGGGGGAGTTTTGCTGTGCGTTGATTTCAAATTTCTTGTGTGGATTACTTCACCCTTTCGTAGGGCTGTATCCGAGGAAGTGGTAGTGCTCCGGCTATATCCTTCTCCGACGTGGTGTATATCTTCTTTTCTTTTGCTTGTTTCTGCCTTCCCCTTGCTCTCTGCCATCTACCATCTTCCCTTCTTTCTGTCACCCTGCAGCCAGCCGACCCCAGCCCCATAGTTGCTGCAGCCTTTCCCCCTCTCTGCCAAGCTGTGCCGCCACTTTCCCTGCCTGCCAACCGTGCTGTAGCCTTCCCCCTTGCCTTCCAGTTGTGCCGTGAAGCTGTACAACTACACTTATTACTACCATAATCACCCGTATGCCTTCCTAACTGCTTCCTGGACTCCCTCCCACACTTTTAAACTTCTGTCATATCTTGCTCTGTCTCCCCACCTGCAACCACCTGTCCCAACCCGCCGTCCCACCTCTTGTTCAGCAGCCAGCCACCCCCCTCGTCATCATCCTAGAGTGTCTTTTATTGTTTGTGTTGTCATTGTATTGATTGTTAAGCGACTTTGGTTGTAACCTATTTGAAATTCAGCAATAATAGTGGTCATTTTATTTGTGGCTTGGGTTTTCTCCGGTTTCATATCTTTCTGCTGTAGTTATGGATGATCTTACCAGACATTTATAGAATGATGTACCTTGGAGTATGCCTTTTGCTGATGACATCTTTCTTATGGATATAAGTAGAGAAAGAGTTCAGGAAAAATTTGAATTATAGATGTCTACTTTAGAGTCTAAAAGCCATTGTTTGAATAAATTAAAACTGAATATATTGAATGTAATTTTAGTAATAGTAGATCTAGTGGCAGAGTTGTAACAATCGGTGATCAGATCATTAAAAGGAGTGAACGTTTTAGATATCTATGGTCTATTGTTCATAATGATGGTGATATAGATGGGGATGTTATTAGTAGAATTCAAGTTGGATGGTTGCACTGGAGGAATGCATTTGGCCTATTTTGGGATAGAAAAGTACCGCTTAGACTTGAGAACAATTTTATAAGATGATATAAGATGGTTGTGAGACCTGCAATGCTTTACGGCGTAAAATGTTGGCCTATAAAAGAGAAGCATAAACGACGTAAAATGTTGGCCTATAAAAGAGAAGCATAAAACTGAGTTAAGTGTTGTTGAGATGAGAATGATTAGGTAGATGAGTGGCTTTACACTTAGAGGCAAAATGCAACACGAATATATCCATGAAAGTGTTGGTATAGCTCTGGTGGCAAACAAGATTAGAGAGACGAATATATCCATGAAAGGGTTGGTATAGCTCTGGTGGCAAACAAGATTAGAGAGAGTCGTCTTAGATGGTTTGGTCACATCAAACATCGACCATCTGATGATTTAGTTAGAAGTTAGTTTGGATAATAGATGTTTTAGATTCGGATAATGTCAAGAAATGTAGAGGTATACTTAAAAAGACCCGGGAATGTTGTTTAAAAAATGATCTTAGTTTATTAGAATTAAATGAAAATGTGACACTCAATAGTACACAATGTAGAAAAAGGATTCATGTAGCCGACCCCACTTAGTGGGATCGAGGCATGTTGTTGTTGTTGGATTTTTTTGTCTTAGTGGCATATTATAAAGGGTATTCTTATTAACATATACCCCATGCATGGCTATATAAAAATGTTCCAAACTCTTATTTTTCAAAGTTTTAGGTATAATAAATTACTTAAGATATAATGTTGATTATGACTACCTTCCAAAGATGAAAATGTGGGACACTTTCTGAAGAAGCAAAAGAATAAATAAGACCATGTTTGCTAGCATCGAAGGAAATTTACCAAGTTTAAGCCTATTTCAAGTGGAACCTAAAATAATATTCAACCAAGCCAAATTCTTTGTTTGACCAAATCTAACTGCTGGGCCTTGTTTCTTCAATTATTAAATTATCCACTCATCTAATCTCTATTCTTATTGATCGTGGAGAACAAGAAAATAGGAATGCGAATAATGAGTGTAATTTCATTGCTGACCCTTAGATGAAAAGAAACCTTGGTAAAAATATTAGTAAAAGTGATTCCATATGAATTAACCACCCTTAGGGCAGAAGAGCCTCCTAGGGTTTTATTTTTTGGTCTCAAAATTTATGTTCTGATTGAAGTTTTATGGTAATTCAATAGGAACAAACTAATTATGACATTTGCAGATCTAGTGTAATTGACTAAGAGTTTCTTAAGTTCAGTAAGGGAGATATGTTATTCATAAGAATAAGATTCAAATAGTTTTTGCGTTGAATACTGAAGAGTGATTGTTAAATTAGTTTGATTATATGATTTTTCTAGAAAGATAAGCATTAATGCATTTGAATTTGATCTTATGATGCGTATTGGAGTTTTTCCAAGTGTTCAGGTTGGTAGACTTGATTTTATATTAAGAAAATATTTTTAACGATGTCGTTGATGTTTCTGTTTGTAGTTTTTCTACTGGCATGCTTGTAGCATTCTTGGATATATCTTCATTCATGTTGCTATCGATATTGAGTCAATGTTTGAAATCTCTTGTGAGATGTAGTCATCATGAGTTTTTATAGTATTTGGAGAGATTACATCCCTCCTTAGGATTATTTAGGATTCAAAGCAACAATAACAACTTGCCTTTTCTTACATTATCGTATACTCGAGCTTAATTAGATGGTGGTGAATTCTTCAAATTTAGGGTGGATGATACACGTATTTTGAAACTAGTTTGTATTTCATAATTTTATGTTAATGTACCTAAGATTTACTGTGTTGTACTTATGAGATTATGTATGATTGTTTTTATGTATATAATGAGGTGTTTTATTATTGTTTTTATGTATTTTAGTTCTTGTATATATTTTTTGGTCATTTTTAATTTTGCATTGTGTTGAGCCATAAGTTAATTTAGTTGGCTTTAACAACTAAATTTAAAAAGGCCAAAATGGGAACTGAGCGTTCTGCCTTTATAAGGCTAATTGTAAACCTCAAGTTCTATGAAGACATTTTCCTAAAAAATCTCATAAAATTTAAATCAATTCCTTAATATGTTATAAACTTTTAATAAATTAATATAGTTCATCATCATAAATCACAAATTCACGTAATAAAAGAAAAGCAAATCTAAGTTTAAATCTTAATTGACTACTCTAAATTCTCAATATAAGCGTTGAGAATTTTAGGGCGAAGAAAACCAAGAATCGACACAAATTCAGAAGAAAACACAAAGATTTAATGAGGTTCGACAAAGATGTCTACGTCTTCGAGGGCAGAGCGGCGACATTCTTTCAATTTCAGAATAGAGTACAAAATGTTCTTAAAGTCACAAAACAAAACATATATATAACCCTAAAGTGCAACATGCAATTACAAAATTACCCCTGTACCGTCCCGCAGGGGCGTTGCCGCCGCACCCCCAACTCACATAATAGAACTCCCCCGATTGGACAAATGCTTTCGCTCCACTTCGCTCGGGAGCTCCGCTACACTCACGAGCTTCGTTCCATTCCAACATCTATTCCTTATCTGGTATATGAGCCATATCTGACAATAAGGTTTAAGATAAGAACTCACTTAATACTTTATATATGTCATGACTATTATCTATAGCATTATTTTCTTCATTTTTTAGTATCTCGAGAATAATCATTATATGTAATAATTTTGTTACTCTCTGGTTTGATGTCTTCATTATTTTGAAAACATTTTAAAATCAATATCTTTTCCTTTTTACTCTCTATATCAATTATAATTTTTTTGATGCTCCTACTCTTTCCGGATTTTTTTTTTTTTTTGTCAATTTGTTCCTCTCTCTATTTGGCTAGTTGAATGTTGTCCAGATTGAGAGCTTTGATTGCATTTTTTTTATAAGTTATAGCTATGTGATATCTAAATTTTGCCCACGAATATTCTAGATTAGCATGAAAAGTGTTGATTAATATATATAAATCTTGGAAGCTTAATTGTAAATATTCTAGATTAGAATGAAAAGACACTATTTTTCTTCAAACAAAACATAATTATATTATTGATTCTATCCTAGTTTCTTAAGTATTAGACTAAGATAATGAGCAACAAATAGTGTCTATTAAAGATGTTTTTTTTCCTCATTAACATCCTTTTCTTTGTCTAATGTGCATATTACATATGACTACTTGAACAATAATACCCTCTTTTACTTTTTTAACAATTTCATTAAGCATTTTGAATACTAGTGGTCATCTTTAATAAAACTAATGCATTAAGAGATTTAAAAAATATAATTCCATAAGGATTGTTAAAAAAGAAGTTGATAGTGCTCTTTTGTGTGATGTTTGATCAAGCATCTAAAATTTTTGTTTCTCTTGTTTTAGCCCATGTTTTTTTTCACTTCATCAACAATCTTTGTTATTATTCTTATTTCTTCATTTGACATTCATCTTTGAAGCTCATACATGCTACGTGGCTGTAATTCTCTATATAATTCTCAATAGAGCGTAACATATTAATTCATATGGACTAATTGTCTTGGTAAGTGACTTTCTACTTTAATAAGTATACTTATAATTTCTAAACATCTTCTATTTGGATGTTCTTCTGTCGAAGTTAGAGGAATATTTGTTTTCGATCTATTATTATCTCAATCTAAAGTCGCAAAGAATCTATGATTTTGTCTTTAATTTTCTTCATCATAAGGTAAAAGATCATCACCTTTTTTTGACCTGTCCAGCATTATTTTTAACCTCTCCAACACCTTTTTCTTGGTTTTCTCGTTAGTTTTGAATGATAAGAATTGCTACTTATGATTTTTAATTTTGTTTCTTTGTACCACTTTAGGCATGAATAAATGGTTGGAAGTAGTTTTTCTTAAGTAAAATTGCTCTCTTGTTATTTTTATCCAAATAAATGATCTCTTGAGTTTGAGTGTGACCCTTGGAGATGGAATTTTCACATCCCTGCAAAGCATTGTTTGTGGCAGCAATCTTCATTATTATTAGCTATATTAATGGTTTGTTAAATTTTCATCATAGGAATTTTATGTTCATTGTGTTTTTGCTTTTTGTCATTCTTTCTTTTAATCTCATCTTCTCTAATTTGTTACTATATAAAAATGCAAAACATTCTTTGTTAAACTTATACTTTATTGTGCTTATCATAACTGGTAGTGAGTCACAACATATTAAGTTTGGCATGGACGGATGCGGGGAACCTCGTTTCAAAATTAACAAAAATTATTCAACTTGTTCCACATTATGGTTTCAGAGGATATCATGTTAATTAGGAATGATCTAGGAAGTGCTTTTTCTTTGCTTTTTGATCTCGTAGTTTGTGTCATATGAAGTTTTTAAAATAACATTAACGTGCCCTTCAAATTAAATGCACTAGTTTTATTTTACATTGCATATTGGATGGCAATAAACGATCCTTACATTGTTATTGAATGCAGGTGCTACAATCAAGGAGTTAGAAGATGTAGTTGAAGAAAGTAAACATCAAATGCAGACGCTTGATTCTCAACTGCAGGCTGTACAACATGAGCTTAATTCTAAAGAAGAAATGCTAAAGAACTTGAGTTTCACCAAGGATGATTTGGAGAGGAAAAACAATATGTTGCAGTGTAATAACCAAGGTTTGAAGCAGCAGATAGAGAACTCATGTTTAGAGATAAAAAATCTTGAAGAAATCATCCGTAGTTTGATGTATAAAGTATCTCAACTGGATAAGGATTCTTCAGCCATATCCAACAATGTTTTAAAGCTGATATCTTCTTTCAAAAAATACTATGATCTGATACATCAGGAGAAGGATATGACTGCCAAGCTTAATCAAGGAAAACTAGATAAACTACAACAACAATTGCTGAATGCCATGGATGAAAATAATTCCCTTAATTTGCACAATGACCAGCTATCTAACAGGATTATTGAGCTGCAGAAAGCTCAGGAGTTTGTTATGGTGCAACATGCTGATGAATGCCGCGTAGCGGAAGATAAAGCACGCATGTTGGAATCTGAAGTTGATGGACTTCTTTCAAAGAAAAATGAATTGGAGAAGCTGGCCGTCGAACTAGAAGGCAAAGTTAAACATTTATCAGAGGTTTCTAATGTTGCTGAGAACAAAATGGTAACTTCTCAATTTTATTGAGCAATTAACTATAGTGCGATGCATCCTGATTTTTATTTTTGAAATTTTCAGCAAGAGCTGTCGCAGATAATTTCAAAACTAGAAATGGAGAATCACAATATTCAGAGTAGGCTGCAGCTGCAATTGCAGGAGAAGGTTGAGGAAGCGGAAGCTTTGCATAATGCGATAATAAAGCATGAAAAGCATGCAGACTCACTAGGAAATCAAATCAGTGAGCTACATGGTGCTTTGGATGAGAAGGAAAAGCTTATAATTAGTTTAAAGGAAAGGGAAAAGTGTCAGGAAGAACAACAATCTGAGGTTATAACATAACAACGCACACATTTTCTATTATCATCTCATCATCATTATTTTCGACATATCAACAATTTGAAGCATTATTATGAATCGTTTTTCTACATTCATTCTTCCTGAGCGCTATTGATTTTAATTATAATGTACTTTTTTTTGGCACAAATGCTAATCATGTTGTTATTGTTCCGCTTCTTTTCCTTCCTATTACTTTCGCGTTTGGTTAGTTCAATGCTTTGTTTTGTCTTTTTGAAATGAATGACCACCTTTAGGTCAAGGTGGCGCTTGCTGCAGCAGAGTGTAAACTCGCTGATGCTAAAAAGCAGTACGATACGATGTTTGAAGGCAAACAGGTTGAATTAACTAAGCATTTGAAGGAACTTTCTCAGAAGAATGATCAGGTATGGAGCCTTTTAAAGGCCCTAATAAGAACTATGTAACAAAGATTTCCAGCTTTAAAAATGATTATGAAACTTGCAGGCTATCAATGAGATCAGAAAGAAGTATGAGGCTGAGAAGGAGGCGATGGCTGCTGAGGAAAAAGAAAAGGTTTTGCACATCATTTAAATTCTACATATAGATTTTTGAACGTATGAAAGTAGTCTATCTAGAACTGTCTATAACTTCAGGCAAACAAACTCACAAAGGAAATGGAAAGAAACTGTGAGGAGAAAATAACAAAAAACAGAGAAGCAGTTGAGAGAGATTTGTTACATGTTAAGGAGGAGCATAAAGCAATGGTATGTCGATGCTCTTGAGATAAGGACTTGGTTTACTTGTTTCTTATATCTTGTGATGACATCTGATGCATTTCTTTACATGTCTTGCATTTTTTATTACCTAGGTAAGTATATTTTTATATAAATTTAATGCTTTCTCTAAAGCTGAAATAACATTTCCAATTGTTTATTCATGACATTTGATACTATGTTGGATTCAAATTTCTTAAATCTTGAATAGAGAATAAGAAAGCTTAGGTGCCTTTAATGTAAATTTAGAGTAGAATTCCTTTCGAGTTATTTTGCTGCGTGCAATATTTTAGTATTTGTCTCCTCTTTACTAAGATACCATTTTTTTTTTCAAAATCCATCTTAAATCTGTAAACTTTTATGTTAAGTTGCATATATTTGATATCATTAAGTGTCAAATTAGACAGCATTTTCTTATATATTCAATTGCCATTTTAAAACCTGTTTGCAACTATGAATTATTTAAGGGCAGATAGAGCTCAGTGCATGATATGAACGGTTATGTGTAGCATTAGGTATAGCAGACCATTATAAATTTGTTCGTAAAATTTTCTTCAGGTCTAGGGACACCAATAAATGCTTGTTCTATAAATAGAAGAAATATTACATGCCGATTAAATAGGTTTTATTATATACAAAGTATTTAAATATTTAAATATATTGTTCATTTTATTTTTAAAATTTTGAACGATGTACTCATTGTATATTTCATTTGATTGAAACACAAAGTGAGCATGTAAGTGCATCATATTTAGCCTAGTTGACACCGTTTTATGGCTCCTAGAAGGTGTTTAGAAGTTGATCTAGTGGGGAGGTGGTTGTGGGATAAAAAGAGAATGATAATATGGGAGAAGGATAATAGTGTTCCACGGTTGTCCGAGCTGAAAACATCAGATAGAATCAAGAATGGCGAGGAGGTTAATAAGAGAATGTAACCACCTATTTTTTAATAAGCTACATTCACTCCACTTGCAAAAGGAAGATGATGCAACACTCCTTAGGGTAGAAATCAGAGATTGCAATCTCCAATTTACACAGATAAAGTTGAAGTCCCAATAATATCAAAATGCAATAATAAACAGTCTCATAATAGAAAATAACCTTAAGCATAAATAAAGAAATAGGAAATAGATCATAAAAAGAGAAAATTTGTAGTTGAATTTGATAGTGAGATGGAAATTTTCAGTTTGTCGATCATGCGATCGCAGGATTTCTCGAATACACAGTATCGCAAAATTCTCGCGATCGACACCTAGTGCCCAACATCACTCTTCCTTACTAGGAGATGTTAATTCTTCTTTGGAAAGACCTTGATCCCAATATCTAATGTACTTCCCATAAACAACTAATGAAACTTTCAATGTTGCGGTTCATCTCTCCTATCTAGCCATCTATTTGGGAGTGCTTTGTTGAATTGAACTGAACTGAAACTTAGTGCCCTGCTTACTCTAAAGAGCCTTCCATAAATAGCTAATATTTTTTTATCTCTATTCAGAGTGATGGCATGCTGGACTTTTGTATTTGGTGACAACCTAGGAGGTAGACTATAGGTCAAAAAATCCTGAAACTCCTCTAGCAAGAGTCGAACTTCCTTAGATCACTGCATTCTAGTATCATCAGGGTCTATTACATTGGCTTCTCTCTCATAGCTTGTAGAAAAGTCGCATGGGCATTAAAGTTTATGTATCTGCCTGAGTATCTACCGTTGTTGACTCCTTTAATTGTACAAGTAAAATGCACTTATCGTCCTTGATAAATGAGTAGTTGTTTTTGTGGCCATCATTAAGTGTTTTCCTGTCTTCTGGAGTCGAACTTCCTGTCATATTATATTGTATATATGTATATATTAATATGTGTCACATTCTTCTGTCAGGTTTGGCATTAAAGTGACACATATTCATATATACAATATAATACCAAACCTGATCTTGCAACTTGTCTTCAATTAAATATTCTATCAACATCTTTTGTTAACATTGATCTTATTCCCTTTCTTCAACCAAGCCAAATAATATGACTGAGAATGCTTATGGGTAGTGAAACTCAACTTGTCTATTATCTATGTAGATACCACATTTTCACAACTGCTTCAATCTATAATGAGACTATACACTTTTTCCTTCACAATGCAACAAATAAAAAAAATTGTTGAGGCAAAGCTACTGCTGCTTTCTCATTGACATAGCCAAAAGGATTCATAAAACTAGTAACATCTCTTCGTCGTACGTTGGAAGGTGATACTCATCTCTGACATTCTCATTCACTCTTGCATCACTGTCTATTTTTTCAATTGTTTACTCAGTGAAAGAGATCATCCTCTTGTTTGGACAATCAAACGTGTAATGTGTTCAAAACCAAGACACTTCAAGTACTTGTGATGGATTTGAGAGTGATGATGGTCTCCACCTTTTCTCCACTTTGAACTATTTTTTTTTTCGGGAAGAGTTGGATTGGGTACTCTAACAGTATTGACATCAATATTTATTTCATGATATTACTCGATCAACTTGAAAAAAGCAGTGAACAACAAATGTGACACTTATGGACTGAAGCTAGTTCATTTCAAACTATTTTAAAGTTGCCTGAATGACATCCTCCTATAAAATGGAGTGCAAGAGCGCGTTTGAGGGTCAAATTTGCTTAAAGTTGAGGCTTCCATGGTCGAAAGAAGCAAACATAATGAAAATGATAGGCCACCTTCGTGACACATAATTTAGACTTGAATAGCGTTGATCGTCCCCAAAATTGCTCAAATGATGTTCGATCATAAAACGAACTTCATAGATGTGTCCAGAATGTCACTCTATTTCTTCTCTACTAAGCCACCTCTTAATTCCGCATGCACGAGCTCCCTTTTCCTATTTCCTTTTCTCACTACTCCATCTCAGAGCCTCACATCTTCTCAATATCGTACACTCCACCTAGCTCCTCGCCGCCTCGGCCAGAACTCCCTCGCAACAGTCTGAATCTTTTCTCCCTGATTCCGATTGTTCACGCAAAATCAAAGTGATACTACACCTGCTCCCATCTCAACCCCATGCCTCAGCTGAACAGTTATTGCGACGCTCTCCTCCCCCTTATGTTTCGAAATCTACATATAGCCCCCACCTTGAACATTACAACTCACCCGCACTACCCTTCTCCCACTGCTCTACCTAAAGACTCATTCTAGCTCTTCCCTTCTTCTCTCTCCTCTTCATTCTGCCTGTCTTTCGCCGCGACCTGCAGCTCTATCGAAGAGCTTGTATTTATACTGGCTTCTTCAAACCGTAGGTGACAACAACCCACTCCAGCTGCTTGATTTTGCACCTCACGCGAGTAGCTTAATCCCTTGTCTCCTTCTTGTTCACACCAAATCCATCTGTTGCTTTCCCTTCGTGGTTCACTCCAAACCAAGTCGCATCAACCGACATGAAACCAACACCCAAACTGTCTAGCAGCTCACACCAGGCAAATATCTTCCAGCCAACAAAACCTTGCCCTTACTCTCTCTCTTACCTCTTTCTCTCTCTGCCCGAGAAACACAAGGAAAGAAAATTGCAAAAAATAAAAAGAGGAAAGTTAAGAATTGATATTTGTGCCAAATTTATTATTGACTGCCTCTTATTAAGGTATAATACACTTGCAAGCCAACTCATCGTCAAACTAAGTACCCATACGCGCTTTTTTTGCGCTGCTGAGAAATTATGTTGATCGTGTTTTCATGTAAGTGACAACCCTGTACATACTTTTGCATGCTAGAGATAATGACGAATCAGATCGTCAATTAAGTACTTTTAAGTGCTTTTCTTAGCGCGACGGGGAAATCTTGTATTCTATATTTGCTTTTGCAAGTCTAAAGGCACGTACAAACATTTTTTTGCATGGCGGGATGCACTACTTTGGGTTGTGATGTAAATCACTCATTCATACATTTTTTTGCATGGCGGGCAGACTCATTTTGAGCTAAGTATCTCTTGAACGGGAGAGGTGATGTTGAAATGCTACTCAATTTTGGATTGAAGGGGGACCCACAACAAGTAGAAGCTAATTATATATGTGTTGGCCTCATTTTTGTGAGGTTTTTTCTTCCTTTTCATAGAGCCTAGAATCTAGCCTTAAGATTTCCCGTATTGACTCTCCTAGAGGACTAGTGCAGGGACCCACCCCTCTTAGAAATTCAAGCCACTTTCTGATTCTCTTGTGGTGTCTCACATTGGTGGTCTCAAACCATTACCATTTGATCGAGTTGTTTTTTTCACGAACCATCACCATTTGGTTGAGTGGTTGTGTTCGCGGACCATCATCATTTGGTCGAGTGGTTAAGGACCACCATTTGGATACTCAGAGAGAGTTCCCAATAGGATCCAAGCCCTAGGGAAACCCCTTTATGACTTTATCAACATACTCACACACACAAAATATATAAAATTCACTAACTTGAGCAAAGTCGGACTAAAATTGAACTTAAACAAGGTGAAAAATGTGAACATGTCCAGACAACCCCGGATGACGAAACAAATAGCGTGAACGCTTACGCGACGTCGATTTTAGCTAGGAGGGACACTCATTTAGCTATGACTTTGCGTCTGAACCAGGAGCGCACAATTTAATACTTGAATTTAGCCCGATCGTCAACAGATTTGTCCAAATGGCCCCGTTTGACAAAACGAATTGCGCGAGTACGTCTGGGACATCGATTTTAGCTAGATGTGACATTCATTGCATTATAATGATGTGTCTGAGCCAGAAATACATAAATTTGGGTTTTTGAATATTAAAATAAAAATAAATATATTTAAACCCTATTTCACCTGACTCACGCACCCAGTTCGGTCTTCCCCTCCTTTGGTCGAGAGCTTCGGCGTGCCCTAGCCCCCATTGGCCAAATCTTTGCATGAAGCCCTAGCTCGCGCGCCCCCCTCTTCGCAAGCCTTCTGGTCCCCCAGCGGGCCAACCTCTCCTCTTCTTCGCAAAGCTTCTTTTCGGCCGACCCTTTCTCTTCTCCTTGCCGCCTGCTCTCTCTCTCTCTCTCTCTCTCT